CTGCTGCGCTGCGGTGCAGCAGCAGCAGCGGGGGGGCGGGGGCGGGGAAGGACGCGCAGCAGGAGGCGCTGCAGCAGCAGCAGCAGCAGCAGCAGCAGCGGCGCAGCAGCAGCCACAGCAGCAGACTCCGCCTCACCCCCGTGGAGCTGCTCACTTCGCCTCTAAGACATGCTAATGTGCTGGACTTGTGGGGCCCCAAAGAAGTGGCTCTCTTCGAAGCAGGAATTTGCAAATTCGGAAAAGATTTCAATTTGCTGCAGCGCCTCATTCAAACCAAGTCCACCAAAGAAATCGTCGACTTCTACTACCTCTGGAAACAAACCAACAGATATGACGCCTGGAAAACTCACAGAAGCCTTTCCAAAACCATGCTCCACTCCGTCTTCGGGTAGCGCCAGGTGTACGTACACCTCAAAATCCCAGGTGTACAGGCACCTCAGGTGCACATACACCTCGGGTGGACAGGCGCCTGTGCTGCTTCTGTCTTCGGGTAGCGCCAGGTGCACGTACACCTCAAAATCCCATGTGTACAGACAGTACAGACACTACACACGCTCGGGTGTACAGGCACCTCTGCTCCACTGTCTTCGGGTAGCGCCAGCTGTATGTACACCTGAGATGCCGGGGTGTACAGACACCTCACGTGTACATACACCGCTGCTCCACTCTGTCTTCGGGTAGCAAGAGGTGTATGTACACCTCAAAATCCCAGGCGTCCAGACACTCCACACGCTCAGGTGTACAGACACCTCTGCTCCACTCTATCTTCGTATAGCGAGAGGCGTACCTACACCTGAGATGCCTGCCGCGGCAGGTGTACGTACACCTGAGACGCCGAGGTGTACAGGCACCTGAGGTGTACGTACACCTGAGACGCCGAGGTGGACAGACACCCCAGGTGTACAGACACGTCAAGCAGGTGTACAGACACCTCAGATGCCCCAGACGGACAGACAATTAAGGAAGCAGTGGTGTACGTACACCTCAAAGGCCTCAGGTGTACAGACACCTCAGGAAGACGGAGGTGTACAGACACCCGAAAGGCCAGCAACTGGAGAGACACCTCAAAGACCGCGGGTGTACAGACACCTCGGGAAAACGGAGGTGTATAGACACCTCAGAGGGCAGCAGCTGGAGAGACACCTGAGGGAGAAGGAGATGGAGAGATACCCGAAGAAGGCCTGAGATGGACAGACAGCTGAGGGGAGAGCTGGGGTGTACAGACACCTCGGCTCTCTCTTGAGGTGTATGTACACTTCAGGGGCCATTTGAGGTGTACGTACACCCCAAGGGGGGCCCTGCGGCTTGCCCGCCAACGCAGCT